AACTTGCACCCACTGGGACTGGGGGAGAAAAAAACTTGAGGGGAGCAAAGGGAATCTTTCATTGGTTAATAAAGATTATTCTGCAATTAAATTAAAAAAAAAAAAAAGATTCTATTCTTATCTCTACTCTCAACTTTGCATATACTTGGGCAGCTTAAGCCTGGACCTGGTCCTGTTAACATGACTCATCTTCAACAACCAGCAAATGGACAAAAACAGCAATGTTCTCCACTAACCTGGTGTGGCGCTATGGGCTAATGTGTCAGACTGCAAAGTCATTTGAACTGCAAGGTTGGTAGTTCAACCTCACCAGTTGCTCCTTGGAAACCCCTATACAGGGTCACTGTGGGTCAGAATCAACTCAAGGGCACTTAATAACAACAACAACTCTCTAGATACCCCACTCAGGCATGCACCAACCACGTAGCATAGCTCCCATCTGGACCCTCCACACCCACTAGCATCACAATCCTGTGGCCAGGTGGTGCTTGCACCTCTCCTTCCATATCAGAATGTAAATTCATGGACACTGAGCAGGGGCTGTGGAGGAGGGGCCACCATTGCCTCTGTTACCTTCTGTCTCTGGAACACATGAGTGAGGGGGGCCACTTGGCAATCTTTGTGTGCCCCAAAGACCTTGCACAGGGAGCAAGTGGGCACCTCACAGTTCAGACAGTAGATGTTGATGCGTTCCTCTTCATGCTCTTCACACATAGGTTGATCAGATTTCTTTTCTGGTCTGGAAGGAGATAAGCAGACAAATGTTTATCAGTTCCCATTGGAATTGGGTAGTGAGGGGCAGGTAGCTTTGCAAACCCCAGCTTGCCTCTGTACCCCCTGCCTTCTATTTCAGAAGGCACCCAGGATTCCACTTATTTGCTCAAAACCAAAACCAAATCCACTGCTATGGAGTGGATTCCAACTCACATAAACCCTATAGGTCAGAGTAGAATGGCCCCGTGGACTTGCCAAGACTATAATCATTGGGAAACCTACTGCCACATCTCTATCCTACAGAGCAGCTAGTGAGTTCCAAATGCTGACCTTTTGGTTAGCATGGAAGTGCTTTCACCACTGTGCCACCAGGAACTCTCCTCGTAGCTTCCCTATGGGTCTAGCAGGGGTAAACTATCACACCTATATCAAGCAGCTTGCAGTAGGTGTGGATGTGGGCACCAGACACCCTGATTTGTAACACTTTCCAGTTTCCATGATGTACGTATTCCCATAATGACCAATTACAAGCTAACTAAAATTTAACAACTGGCTTACAAAATTCTTGAAAATTAAATACCCAGCTCACACATTTCTATGAAAGATACTTTCTTATTTCTGGAAAAGAAGGGAAAGTTGTCAAAAATGGCTCCCACCAGTCTAGTCTCTGGTCTTTTCAAAGGGGTCAGAGTAGGTGTCATGGATTGAATTGTGATTCAAAAAAATACGCGTCAACTTGACTGGGCCATCTGCATTAGCAATAATATCCCTTATTCCACACTGTTGTCTGAATCTGACGCCAACCTCTGGCAGTTCCCTCTCACTGTACTGTTGCGGCCTTTTTAAAATTATCTTTAGCAAAATTTTACTTGCATGTGATATTGTCTAATGATTTCCACATTCTGTTGGGTCCCCTCTCTTTGGAATAGGCACAAACTTGGAACTTTTCCAATCAGTTGGCCAGGTAGCTATCTTCCATATTTCTTGGCAGAGATGAATGAGTGCCACCAGTGCTGTATCAGTTTGTTGTGAAATTTCAGTTTGTAGTCCATCAATTCCAGGAGCCTAGTTCTTTGCCAATGCCTTCAGTGTACCTTGGATTTCTTCCTACAGTACTATTGGCTCTAGATTTTACACTACCTCTTTTTGGTAAAGTGACGGTGTATTTCTTCCATCTTCTTTTGATGCTTTCTGCATCATTTAATTTTTTTTTGCCATTTTTTTCAACATTGAAAGGCAGGGCTTGAATTTTTTTCTTCAGTTCTTTCAGCTTGAGAAATTCTTCCCTTTTGGTTTTCTAACACTAGGTCTTTGCACACTCCAGTTTTATATTTGATTTTCTCTTCTCGAGCTGCCCTTTGAGATTTTCTGTTCAGCTCTTTTACCTTCT